TCACCTGCTCTTCGTGATCCCCGTCCACCACCTGCTCTTCGTGATCCCCGTCCATCAGCTGCTCTTCGTGATCCCCGTCTATCACCTGCTCTTCGTGATCCCCGTCCACCACCTGCTCTTCATGATCCCCGTCCATCACCTGGTCCATCAGCTCGTGGAAAAGAGCTAGCTATAGCAGGTGGTAGTATACCTTCCGTTGGTGTTGGTGGTGGGCCAGAGCTATCTAAAGCAGGTGGTAGTATACCTGCCCTTGGTGTTGGTGGCGGGCTAGAGCTAGCTATAGCAGGTGGTAGTATACCTGCCCTTGGTGTTGGTGATCCCCGTCTATCGGCTCGTGGACCACAGCTAGCACCGGATGGAAGGCGGAGGTCTCGTGAAACACTATCTCTACCTCCTGATGCTTCTAGCACCCTCTACATAGAGGGACTTCCTTCAGACTGCCCCAGAAGAGAAGCAGCACGTATCCTGTGAAAATGTCATTACCAATTTTTTCAATACATATACTTATAAGTTGCTTCATCCCTAACTACATTTCAAAAAAAAAGATATCTTTCGTCGTTTTACAGGCTACAAAGAATTGAGACTTGTTAAAAGGGACTCAAAATATGTAAGTTGATTGCCTAATTTATGCCTTTTGTATCAATGTGTGTTTTGATTAAAATTTCATTTTGCAGCCTGCTAAACATCCTCTTATTCTTGGGTTTGTGGATTTTGAAAATCCAACCTATGCTGCTACTGCTTTGAGGGCATTACAAGGTGATTTTTCCACTGTCTCCACTTAAAAATATTATTGACATTTCGTATAAAACTAATGGTTTGTTGAATTTTGTCAGGTTACATAATGGACGATCATGACAACAATTCTCCTTACTTGAGGTTGCAGTTCTCTAAATTTCCAGGCAGGAGACTTACTGGTCGTGGGAAGCGATAAATTATATCGATTCAAGTACTGCTCTGTTTGAATTTAGTTATGTATTATCTACTGTTACTGAAAACTGCAAGTGTACAATTGGCGCAACAATGGTGCTACTAGCCATTCTATTGGTTTTTGAAGCGGAGTTTTCCGCTTCAACAACCTGTGAAACTTAGTTTCTCAGACTTGAACTTTTATCTTCTTCTAAAACATGGATTATGTGATGATCAAGTTTTCTTTTTGTTGTGTATTTGTTAAGTCTTATCTTAGAAATGTTTCTTTTTTGGTGCTGGTGTAATTGGAAGCTAATTAAGTGTGGCAAATGTGGTTGATTTAAGCAAGTTGAGTCAATAGATTGGTTATTTCTGTCTTCTGCACAAGTTAGGGGCTACAATAGGTGACAGTGTTTGAATTGACTTATTTTAAGTGATTATAAGCTGAAACTCATGCGGTAGAAATCTTTACTTATGATTTTTAGCTTACTAGTTCTTGGATACGTGCGTTGCACGTTTGTTTCATATTAATTAGTATAATGTTTTTGAGATAATATTAGATTATACGTACTAAATTTGTATGTATATTTGCTAACTGACTATCTAAAGGAAAAAACTAAAATTTCAAAATAATAAACAGTGAGCCTATCCATATAATTACTAGATTCTTAAAAGCAAAATTATTAGATATTGTGTGAACTTACACTGAACAACTAAATTTAATAGTAAGTAAATTCATACACAAAATATAATAATCATGAGAAAATAATTTAAATGTGTTATGCCCAAATATAACATTGACTCTATTGAAGCAATGTTGATGCTAACTATATGTGTCCGGACTTTATTACTAAAAGAAAATGAAATATTAACAATCTCTTCACCTCTAAAATAGTATAAATTCTACATATACTTTTATCATTTTGAGACCCTACATTTTCATACTACACTAGATATACTATTTGTTTCGTACGTCAATTTAGGTTATATGTTTTGCCCAAATTAGTTCTAACATTTATAATCATAAAAATGAATTGAGTTAATCTCCTATTGGACATAGTTTTTTCTCTGTTAGGTTCCTGAAATGACGGGTTCAAGGAGATCCACTCGTCCTTACCAAAGCTTAGTTATTCGTAAATGAGAACTCGTTTTACTGATTGATTGACTTATGTTAATTTTATATTCCAATTCAATGTATTTCTTTTTTTGCTCTTGTTCGATAGCAGGCCTGTGTGCGAGCTTAATCCAATTTCAGTGAATGTATAAATATTAAGCTGTCTAACTTATGACAAGTTGGGCGTGTTGTAGCCTTCATTTTTTCCATTTTTAGTGGGAATCGATTTCTTTGTGTTCAAATAAAAAAATGTAGTAATCAAGAATGAACTAATTCAAAGAATATATTAAGGATTATGTTTTGTTTCTTCCATCTAGCTCCGTTGTTTTTGTGACTACAAAAATTTGATTAATAATAGTGTTATGCGGATTTCGAGATAATACGAGAAAATATAAATGCGAAAATCAAAACAACAGATTTACGTGGTTCACCAATAAATTGGCTACGTCCACGGGAAGAGGGGGAGCAATTTTATTATGGAGAGGCAAAAACAGAATTACAGAATAGGGTTTGCCATAGCGTCTATATATAGTGCTAAACTACGCCCTAACAGGCTTGGGCCCAACATACAGAATTGACATATAATTAAGGGCCCAATTCAAGGCATTCAACAAATCTCCACTTTGACTTGAATTCTCCAAACAGATTCTTCAGACGCACTATGATAGTGCCAGGCCTCCCCCTCTTCCTCAGAATTGCCCCGCAGGGCAATTAACAGCTTCTGATGTTGAGCAAGTCCAAACAGTGTTGAAACTTGCTCTGTGGAACCGGCTTTGTGAACATATCAGCAGGATTATCAGCAGTTCCTACTTTCTTCACCTTGATTCTCTTCTCACTTCTCAGAAAATGATACCTCACGTCAATATGCTTGGTTCTCTCATGATGGACTTGATCTTT